CTCATTGTGTTGTGTGTGGCTTGCCACAATGGTTTCACTTTGAACATGATACTGCAAACTCTATAAAAATAATCAGATTTATACCTATATCAAGAAATGATGTGTGTGGTTTTTCTGCCAAGCTCGGCCCAATGCGAGGATATAGCTCCGCCCAGAATGACGTCAGCGATTATGATTGATCGACTCAACATAAACTCGTCGAGCCGTAACTCGACTTAAAACAAGCTAGTCGCAGACAATCTCAAGAATCAATCAACCAATCCCCAGATTACATCAGATCCCGGATATCGCAGGAATGACTGGATCAACAGATATCATTACGCGATCATAGCGCTCAATCGCAAGGATATCAGAATTGTGATTCAAATTATTTGTAATCCCCTTAATTTCGTTCTTGTAAATCTTGTATATAAACCCCCTAAAATGATGAGGAGGGGGATACGAATTCAGGATTACAACTATGTTGTAAGCTCTCACATCATATACACAAAACACAGTGGACGTAAGCAGTTAACTTCGCTGAACAACTTTAAAAGTTCTCTTTGTCATTTATTATTTAACATTATCATTCACTCATCGCTGATTACCCGTAATCACGTCTACATCAGTTCCGATCCCGACAAGGTCGATCGGATCTCATTGGTTGATGCAGATTTCTGTATCAACAAGAAAGAATATAAAAGATATTATTATAATTTAACCCTTTTAACGTATAGTAATATAGGTTGAGTGTCTGTAAATTATCCAAAAGATTAGCAGGTTGAGCGTGTGCTAATTATCTAAAAAACTAGCTTATAATACTATATGTCACAAATGTTTTGTCAATTAAATAATTGACTTGTCAATTAAACTGTAGACTGTTATATACCACATCCGTTTGTCAATTAAAAAAAGTAGTTGACTAGCGCACTAGGGCATGTTTCCTAGCAGCCTTATAAACCAGAAATCCAACACATTGTTAATTTTTTGATGTGAGATTAATATTCTCCTCCACTCAATTATATGATGCTCTCATCCCGGAAAACCCCAATTATAGAAGAGAATTCGGGTCTTTGCTCTAATACCACTTATCACAAGTCTAATTTAGTGATATATAAGCTCAAAATCCAACTCTAAACTATCGAACAAGGGACAAAACACCAAAACTTAAAATATGTCATGTGTATAACATTTTATAGCCACGTCGAGCAGGAATAAATTGCAATAACATTGTCATCCAACCCTTACCACAACTCATAAACTTAACATAAAATCACATTATAATACCCTTAGCATTAACATGACATATAAGTTTAGAATTTACATAACGACGAGAAATCAAACCCACCTTCCCTAAGCTAAGGGCTCAAAAGGATAAGAGTGTAGGAAATTACTTTAATAGATGATTAAAATTGCCGGCCCTAAAATTTGAGAAATTTGAGATGCCAACGCAACCAACTACTTTCCAACTTCATTCATTGATATGCCTAGAAAGACATTTGTGGGATTTTTGCACATGTTGGCACATGCTCTCTTGCAGGCTAAATTAAAAAGCATAATTAATTAATTATTTTTAATTTAATTTCATCATCCATTAATTCTACTTTGCCTTTTTCCCACTTTGCTTCATTTTAAAAAATTATATCCCTAGATTTATTATTATTATTATTATTTTTGTTGTTGAATTTTCATTAATGGGTAATCAAAATCTAATTGTTCATTAGTTTGAAATTAATTGGATTTTTGAGTTTTTGTTTAATTTTCATGTTTAAAATGTGTTAATATAAAATGAGCTTGTTTTTGTTTCAAAGTTATGGTTTATTAATTTTATTGAGAACTTGAATTTTTTTTCACTGAAAAGAAAACTCTAGAAAGTTCAAGATTAAGTTAAGAGAATTTGGAGGGCTTTTAGATTTAATTAGGAGTTAAATTAATACGTCGTTGAAACTATTAAACACTCCTTAAAAAGGGGATTTATAATGCCTTTTCAAGGAAATTTCGTGAGGTTTTAGTGGTTACTGGAGTATTTAATAGCTTCTAAAAATCGTCGAGCACTTAAGCCTTATCAATTATGGACGGATGAAATTAGCAATCTATGTCTAAAGCTATGTATTTAGGGGATGGAACGAAAATCAATTAATTTTTATTTGGATGATTAAAGATTTTCTATAATATTGTTAGTAAAGACCTAACAAATTAAACATAAGACTTGTAATATCCCGGTTATCTTATATTCTTTATTCACCGTTGGCAACACGTAAATACTCACGTAATTTTATTATATTCTATCATAAATTTCTATTGCAAACGAAATTGTGGGAAGAAGAGTATTATATTTTTTATAGCAATAAATTTTTTCTATAAAAGTAAATTAAATTAAGTAAATATTCACAAAAAAATGGTTATAATAAAATGTCAATTTAAAAAAATTATATATATTTTTTTCTTTTTTAAAAATATTTTTTTGAAAAAGAACTTTATGAACATTTTTAACAAATATCTATATATTTTGAGTAATACTACATCAACAACCCTTTTTTATAAACTTTCTTTTACAACCTGATAATTAATCAGCTTAAAATTAACTAATGAAACTCATATAGAATTTGTTGTGAATTAACTAATTGCGAACTGTCACTTCAGAGTTGTGAGAGAAAGTTTATAAGAGAAGATTGTTAGTATAATATTATTCATATATTTTTCTTTTGTCAGAGATTGTTAATGTTTGACGGTAAATCTTGGATGCATTTGATTTGAGAGTATTTTATATTAACCAATTGTGCAAAAATTACAACACCAACAAAAAAAAAAAAAAAAAAAAAATTATCAGTAAGTGCTTTTTGAAACATACACTCTAGCACTGTTTCTATCCACATGCAAAGTGTTTATTTCAAAAAATGCTTATATCTGTTTATTCCAACCAAACATAAATAAATAAACAACACTTTTCACTATGTTTGGCTTACTATTTTTATCCAGATTCTGGATCCTATTCTTCAAATAATGTTTGGCATATTATTCCAAGAATATTACCCTATTTTTTTAATTACTTTTAGACCCCATAAGGTTATTAATTTCATCAAATACACCCTAAAAAAAAAGTTTAAAAATTATCAAAAACACCCCCACAACCCATACTCGCCAGATTCTGACAATCATCGTCGGTGGTAGCCGAAATCTATACAACGGCCAACCTGCCGACCNTTTATATATTAGGGTATTTAGTCAAATTAGCAAACCTAGGGGGTTTTTTAGAAATTTTTAAATTTATAAAAAACTAAAAATTAAACTTTCAAGGGCATTTTAGTCTTTTCACTATTATCAAACGAAAATCACTAACAAAATATGACGGAAGGTACCCATTTGTCGTTTCAAAACCTTTTAGGTACCAACTTGCCATTTCGATAAACATTGGGTATGTATGTTCTCCCCTTTTAACATTCCTAAACTAACTTATAGTGAAAGCAAGCACAAAATTCAAAAAACAGAACAACTTTTATTGTTGAAATGAATAAATATATTTATATTATCAGACAAAAGGCAAATACAAATACAAAAATAGGAATTTTTCTCTCGAAAATCTCTTCCGTGATTTTAGATTCAATTATCTTATAAATCGATTTTATTCAAACAAGAGAGACAAATTTTGACAACATATATTAGTCGCATTATCTCAATTTAAGATTTGTTAAATAACATAAAATCAAACACATACTAAACCAGATATAAATGTATGGTTTTATTTATGAAATTCTCTTATGGAGATTTCAAATTTAACTACATAAAGACAAATTTTGGAAACTTTTCAATTTAAGGTTTATCAGAGTAATCTAATCAAACCCGCGTTAAAACAAATCTATATTTACAGTTTACCCCTTGAAATCGGTCGTGTAATTGGATAGCTAAAAGGGACAAAAATAAGAATTTTTTTGGGTTGATTTGATTCCTCAACCTCAAGAGTCAAAACTTTGGGTTGAAGTTGAAATTTGAAAAACTTTGGAGCCAAGCCAGACGACACTCCCTCTGCTCGGCTTAGCTTAGCCAGCTATTTATTACAGAATCACTGTTACCAATAAGACATTGGTCACCGAACACTTTTTCACAGCCGCCGAAGCCGCCTTCAGACAAAATCCAACCGTCCAAATTTGAAAATAAAACTTGGGTAGGCAGAATATGCCAAAATAAAAAGTTTTATAAAATTAAAATATGGCTTTTTTGAAATTATTATTTGATTTAATGATTTATTTACAACATAGAAGAAGTCTAAAAGTAAATTTGATTACAATGTGAATTAATATGCGAATTATCATATTAATAATTAGTGTTTAATGTTATTATTAAATTTATGTCACATTTTAATGTCCTATATCAACAAATATAATGTTTATAATCTTATTACACATAAAAAAAATATAAGAGTTTGTATGATTAGTTGATAATTAATTTTATTTTTTTTCTAATTATGATTGCAACTTAAAAGAAGAGTTAATGGGTAATAAAGAAAATTATTTACCATGTAATAAAAAATCTTAAAGTTTAAGTTCCTATAATTTTAATTTTTAAAATATAAAAAATTCATTTGTGATGTTAAAAATCCTCTTTTTCTCACCTCTTTCTAATAAAATATATTCGTTATTTTTGAATTTAAAAACAATTTTAAAAATAAAATATGATTAAAATTTTCAATTTTGAATATTTTTATAATTTTATAAAATAATTTTCTTTTTTTTTGGGATTGTATACGAGAATTACTTTCGTAAATATGGTGACTCATTTTAATCAAATATATTTTTATAATATTTTTTGTATTTCTTATTTTCAAAATTAATTCCATATAATAAAAAGTGATGTGTATCAAATTAAATAAAAATAAAAATATTCACGGAGTTCATAAATAATAATTTTAGAAAATAAAATTGTAAAAAGAAAAAAAGAAAGGCTGTCAGCCAGGTCAGCCTATCTTTTCTCGTGGTGCAAATGATTCCTCCAAAATTTAGTGGAAATTTCATGTGAATTTAAATATTTCACAGCCTTAATATATATACTCTCTCCCTTCCTCTTCGCCTTCTCTCACTCTGTCTCTACACACTTCTCTTTCTCCTCCTTTATCAGAGCGAGAGAGAATCTCACTCCCTCACTCACTCTCCGTCGACGCCTTCTCCGCTGTCTCTTCTCTTCTAAGTAAGCTTCCTCTTCTCTTTACTCTTCCTATCTCTCTCTTTTGTTGTTTTTTTAATATTTTTATGAGATGAAACGGTGACGATTTGGTGCAATGGTTGAGTTTTGTTAATTAAGCTGCTTGATCTGATTTTATTTGTGGATTTTGATTGTTTTATTTGATCGGTGGATGCGTTTTGAGATCTGATCGAAGTGTTAAGGAGCTAGATCTAGGGTTCTGGTGTGAGATTTGTGGTGCTGGAACTGAGATCTAAGATCTAGAAGTCTATTGAAGTTGTTAGTTTTGATTGAAGTGAATCTGAATCGAGTCTTTTGATTTTAAGTTGTTTGAAATGATTGATTGTGAGATTTGATTCCTTGATCTGTTTGTTGTTTATACGGATCTGTAATTTTGATGAGATATAGCTGTTAGATCTACTCAAAGTCGTCCTTTTTAATTGAATTTTGAGGGAGGTAGTACTAAATTTGTTTGATAATTGATGATTATTGTTGAACTTTTGGTATGGAACGTATTAGATTGATAATATGAAGAGTTTTAGATTAAATGGAGCAATTTTTCTTGTAGAGATTGGTTCGTTGGTGACAATAGTGATTGATCGAACAGTTTATTGACTTTGCTTCTTTGTGTTTGTATTTATAGATTTATAGAAAATGGCCGATGCTGAGGATATTCAGCCCCTCGTCTGTGACAATGGAACTGGGATGGTGAAGGTTAGTTGGTTCTTTAGTAAAATTAATAAGTTTTATTGCTTGTTAAGTAGTTTTGGCTTGTACTAATCCGTTGTGATATCATATGCGTTAATTGCAGGCTGGGTTTGCCGGTGATGATGCACCCAGGGCAGTGTTTCCTAGTATTGTGGGTAGGCCAAGACACACCGGTGTCATGGTTGGGATGGGACAAAAGGATGCCTATGTAGGTGATGAGGCCCAATCCAAAAGAGGTATTCTTACTTTGAAATACCCCATTGAGCATGGTATTGTGAGCAACTGGGATGATATGGAAAAGATCTGGCATCACACTTTCTACAATGAGCTTCGTGTTGCACCTGAAGAGCATCCAGTGCTTCTCACTGAGGCACCCTTAAACCCCAAGGCTAACAGAGAGAAGATGACCCAGATTATGTTTGAAACTTTCAATGTCCCTGCCATGTATGTTGCCATCCAGGCAGTGTTGTCCCTCTACGCCAGTGGTCGTACAACTGGTTCGTATAAATCACGAGTTGAATCTGAACTTTTTAGTAATTTTAGTCAATTATTTTTGTCTGATGTTTAAATTGCCATCTTCTTGAACAGGTATTGTACTGGATTCTGGTGATGGTGTGTCTCATACTGTGCCAATTTACGAGGGTTATGCTCTCCCACATGCAATTCTTCGTTTGGATCTTGCTGGTCGTGATCTCACAGATGCATTGATGAAGATTCTTACTGAGAGAGGTTACATGTTCACCACCACTGCTGAGCGGGAAATTGTCCGTGACATGAAGGAGAAGCTTGCTTATGTTGCCCTGGACTATGAGCAGGAACTTGAGACTGCCAAGAGCAGCTCTTCTGTTGAAAAGAACTATGAGCTGCCTGATGGCCAAGTCATCACTATCGGAGCTGAGAGATTCCGTTGCCCAGAAGTCCTCTTCCAGCCATCACTCATCGGTATGGAAGCTGCTGGTATCCACGAGACCACCTACAACTCCATCATGAAGTGTGATGTCGATATTAGAAAGGATCTCTATGGTAACATTGTGCTCAGTGGTGGTTCAACTATGTTCCCTGGTATTGCCGACCGTATGAGCAAGGAAATCACTGCACTTGCCCCAAGCAGTATGAAGATCAAGGTCGTTGCTCCACCAGAGAGAAAATACAGTGTCTGGATAGGAGGGTCAATCCTTGCATCACTCAGCACCTTCCAGCAGGTGAAAATTCATTCCACTTCAAGTTTTTTTTGCATTACTTTTTCAAAAAATGTAGGTCTTCAACGTCTAACATATAAACATACATTGTCTTGAACAGATGTGGATTTCAAAGGGTGAGTACGACGAGTCTGGTCCATCCATTGTCCACAGGAAGTGCTTCTAAGTTCTCCAAGTTCTTTGATGGTGAGTTCTTTTTGCATTTAGTTGGTTTTTGTGTCTGTGTCATGTGGACTCATGCTGGTTGACGTGGAGAAGTGTTCAGGTCGGGGTCGTCATTGAAGGGAGAGAGTATAATTCCTCTATTGTTGTATCATATAAGCTTCTCTTTTCGGCATTCGTTGTCGAGAGGCTTTTACTTTTAATGGTCCTCCGGATTTGATGGACAAATCCACCCTTGCCTTGCATCATCTGGGGTTCAACCATATTGTCTTTTTTTAGTAGGAATGTTTGTAGCTGGAGATGAAGAGTGGTTGTGATGCTTTTCCCTTTCATTTTCTAAAATTTTCATATTTGAAGGTTTTTTTTTTAATTTTATTTTTATTTTTTCTTCTTCCCTGAGAACAATTAATGTTAATAGCTATTGTATGAGAAACTTCATATTAGTGTCTGCTTGCCATAAACTCCCTTATTGAAATTATTATATTTAAATACCTGGTTTGAATTTTTTCATTGATGGCTACTTCCGTCTCATATGCCCGGCATTCTATAAATTTTGTATTGAACTAAAAATTTGTATTGAAAAACGACAGAAACAAAGAAAACAGAAACAGAAGCAAAAAAAGATCTAATCTTGGCTTTGTTGTAGAGTGGTTAGTATATTCTTAGCATCTAAGGAAAAGTTAAGAATGTGACGGCAAGTTGAGGTGTCTAATCAACACTTTTATTTAGTGATTTGGTCATTCATTATGAATCGAATTTATTAATTGTGATTGATTATTTGAAAAAGAGAAGTTACGTAAAGATATTTCTTTTATTGGTCCTCTTTTACTGTGCTTGAAAGTTACACATTGGCTGAAAGGCAGTGGAATCTAGTGGGTTTTTTGGGTGCACGTAACTTATGATTTTGGACTTCGCTATGTGGCTGGAATTTGAGAATTTCTAATTCCTCGAGTTCATATTTCAACAAAACAAAAATATTATCGTGTTACAAGTATTATTAATCTTTATGATAAAAACATTGTCCTCCAACCCTTGGATTACTTGATCGATCAAATTTCATATCCCAAGTGATGTGTGATATGTCGTGATCAAATTTCATATCCCGAGTGATATGTGATATGTCGTGATCAAATTTGATAGTTGTACGTGACATTGATTTGCAAATAAAGACATATATGACATCGACATGCAAGTAAAGACATATGAGGGATTAGTTGCATGGTTAGGTTGGTGGTTTCTTCCGACCAGGTTTCGGGATTGAGTCTCCTCGTAAGCACTGTCGTGACCAAAACCTAGGCAGGGCAGGGTTTTATGGGGATTTTAGTTTGGAAGAGCGATATGTTCCCACCCAAGGTTTGAAAAAACAACACTTTCTCATCTGTCAAGATGACACTTTTCCATCTTTCTTCAGATCTATTTTTGTTAATATTTAATTAAAAAAACAAAAACACCCTTAAATAGTTTATTAAAATTAAAATTTAATTAAGTCAATTTTTATTCGATTATTTATTAGTTCAAGTGAATATATATTTTTTCTTTTGTTTATTTAATTAATTAACAATATTGATTTTCTATGTTAATTAATAAAGATGAAAAACATTATATTATAAAAAATATTATAAATTTAATAGATTATTGAATAATAGTGATGAGATATTTATGATATTATAAATAAATAAATATTAAGGTCATCTAACTTTAAATAATTCTATAGTATTGCTCCTAACTTTTTAGGTGGGGTTAACTATTTTTTCTTTTTTGACTTTTAATATTTGACTTTTTAACTAATTAAAAAATAATAAAAAATTTATAAAATCAAATATTTAAAGGTAATTAAAGGAAAATATAACAAAACTTAACGAAGGGTGGGTAATTAAAGGAAATTGTTATTTTGAAACTTGAAAGGTGGGAAAGTATTGTTTGGCCAAACCTTGGGTGGGAAGATGTCATTATGCCTTTTAGTTTCAATCGGGGGCTTGCAAAACAAGTGCTTAATTAATGTTGACAAAGTTTTACGGCTTCGTTTGGTTCATTATTCTGATAGTTTTTAGAATAATCTTTTGAAAAAAGTTAAATTTGGGCAGGTATTACGATGTAGGATTTGAAAATTAACAAAAATATCCCCTATATTTGTTTATTTACTAAACACCCATATAATAAAATATTACAAGTTAACAAAAACACAACCCAATCCACCCATTAAATACGGACAACTGGCCACCACTGCTGGAGAGTGGCCGGAGTGTTTTTGCAATTTCTAAAAAAATATTTGGAGATGTTTAGTTAAATTAACAAATTTAGTAGGTTTAAAAGAAATTAAAAAATATAGAATAATATTTTGGGAATAATAACATTTTACTGTTTAACTTTTTTGGGAATACTAATAATAGTATTCTCAAAAACGAAACAAACGGAGCCTATAGCTTTAATTTTAATGTTATTTGCAATCCAGTCTATCTTGTATATTACAATAAACAATATTTATATTTGACGAAAAATAAAATAAAATTATTAATAACTTCATCATCTTCAAACCTAATATATCTTCAATTAAATTAAACCAATTCTAAATTATTCTCGTGCTCCCAACAAGCATGAAGCATGGGTTTGCCATATGTATACACACGCGTGTGTGTGTGTGAGTGTGACAATAAAAAAGGATTTCATAGAGGAGGGAGTAAGTTTAAATCTAAGTTTAGTTAATTGATTACTTTATTTCCGCTAGGAGATTAATTTAATTAAACATGTGACGCAGAATGATGTCTAATCATGAAAAGACAGTTTAAAAAGTTTAACATTAATCATGATTAATGCACATGGTAAGTATAAATTTTTTATTCAATTTAAAATTTAAAAATAAAAAAGACAAATTTTTATTTTTTTTATAAAAGAATATCAAATTTCTTTTAATTAAATCATTAATCATTAATCAGATCATGTTATCTCTTAATTAATGTGATCTTCCCAAATCAATGGTCACATCTCATTTATTAGCATTAACAAATATCTCCATTGATTAAGTTATAACAATGCCTTACTATGAGGTTTAAAGAAATATAGCGAGTCCCCACAGGTAATAGAGATTACCATTACCCCCCCTTACATTTCACAAAATCTTCACTTACCTCCCTTAACTATGTTACTACTAATGACAATATTGTATTTTGTTTGATAAGAATTATATTAAGAGAGGATCTTGATCCTGGATGCTCATGTGTGATAGAGATTTATTTTCATTTCCAGCCATTTTTATAATTTATTAATTGCCAATTATAATTTTATATTTTGTTCGAGTAAATATTATATCATGGGAAAATCCTGATCCAAAAGAATTTGCCCTCCAAGATTTGAACATAAGAGTTTTTGAATAATTGTAAGTACAATGATCTTCATAAAGTGTTGAAAAAACTCAGAATAACAAATATTCTAATATATCTCAAGATCATATTAATAGTCACATATTGCAATCACATTTTATTTAAATGAATTACAATAAAGTTTACAGCATAAATACCTTTACTTCTTTAACTCTGAAACAAAATTGTATCTTGAGAGAGAACCATCGTATACTTATTTTTTCTTTTAATAAATTTTTAGAGATATTAAAGAAATTCTAAAAGGAATTTCTTCACTTATATACGGGATGCAGTTGCCTTGGCAACTACTGCAGTTTTAGGCTAAAACTGCTTTGGCAGTTTTCACTTGCAACGTACTTTGGGTGGATCCAATCATGGTTGTCACACCCATATCCAATATAAAGAATAAAAGCAAGGCTCGAGCCACTTTTCTGTGGAGCACCCAGGCTTCAAAGTCAGAGTTGAAAATGCCATCATCTCCGAAAATATCAAACTTTTCTCTCCATTCAGGGCCTTTGGGATAATTCTGAAAGTTGGTGCTCATTATGTGGTGCACATTTGCAGGATCACTGGTGAGGAACAAATCATTTTGAGCAAACCAGAAAGGTTTGATGAGCAGTGAGCCATGGCTTCTTTCAAGAACTTCAGTCAATTTGTCATGCAGCCAGCCGATGGAAGTTGATAAGAAAATGTGGTAAAACCCCAAGAAGAGGGGAGGTTCCATAGGGGAAGTTTGTTGCATTTTTGTGTGTAACTGTGAAGAAAGAGAATGAAAATAACTGGCATGAAAATCCATTGAAGGAGTAAGACCAATGCTATCATAGTTTCAAGGAGATGAAGGATTGTGCTTGTTTGTTGAGCACAAAGATCTTAATTTATTTATACCATTGATTATGGGCAAGTGGAAATATCTATAATAGTATACAAAAGTAACAAATGTCAATCATTTATGTGATTATGATGATGGTTGATAAATTAAATATCTATAATAGTATATATTGACTTCTGATACCATCTACAAAATATCTTGTCTTTTAATTACGAGTAATATTGTACAGATAAAACTAATATAATATTATTCTTATTGAAATGAATTCACATTTTTAATCACACTATCTGTTTATTGTTTGCCATCGGAGGTACAAACAGTAAGGAATTTTTTCTTACTTCTTTTCACTATCATATTATTTTTTTTTTTTTTTACTATACCTTAACTGTTTGAAATAATTCATAATCAACCTTCACTGTTTGGTGAAATTTTAAGTTGGTATTCTGTGATGCATTTATTTGATATTTCTACTCTTAAATTAACACGATTGTCTTTATTTTAACAGTAAAAAGTTAAAATGGTAATTTATTATTTTTATTTCTGCAAATCTCTCTCACCCACTGCCGCCTCTTCTTTTTCTTCTGCCCATTCTTCTTCGTCTTCTTCTTTTATCACATTCAAAATGTACCCAGACTCATAGATTAAATCTTTTCCTTTTCTTCATTTACCTTTTTCTTCTGAGTGGGTATTTTATGGCCATTCTTCTTCTTCTCTTCCTTGGGTAAAATGTGCCCCGACTTCGTTTTCTACAAAAACCATCTCTCTACCCACTGCGGCCTCTTCTTTTCTTCTACATACAAATGCACCCATTTTCCTAATTCAAGCGGCCCAAGTCGCGAAATTGCAAGAAGAACACTAACCAAATTCACATAATTCGGACGCGCATCTCCCATTTGCATCTCGTGAAACATCTCTATTGCCTCCCTAAATTTCCCATTTTGTGCATACCCAGACATCATAGCATTCCACGAAACCACACTTCTTTGAGGCATTTAATCAAATCGAAATTTCACAACTAACCCATGAACCTGTTCTCCTTCTGAAACGCTCCCCATTTCAGCGCAGGCTTTTAACATAGAAGGAAATGTATTCTTATTGGGTAACACAAACCCATCACAAATCATTTGATGAAATAACAACAAGGCATATAGAGCTTCATCATCATTATTCTCACTGAAGGCTCTTATAAGAGTGTTATAAGAAAAGCAATTGGGTTCACGCATTTGGTTAAAAACCTAAAGGGCGTAGTCTAGGTCACGGCGGTCGGACAGAGAGC